TTGAGGATTTGTGTTTCGAGTTTATTGTGCATACTCACGCTTTCCTTCCCCACCCTGTATTTAACTTTACTTTAATATACATACTGATCTGGACTATACAGATACAGGTGGTCCCAAATTATGAACAAGATAGGTATGTTCTTAAGTTGAATTTGTATGTAAGTTGGAACAGATGTTTTTAAAACATAACTTCAGCCAAATATATATAGAGAGAGCAGGCTTTTTGATAATATAGGGAAGAGTTAACTCCCCACCCCCACAATTTAAACTGTATTATATGGCCATGTAGATCCAGCCTGGATCATGCCAGAGTTTAAGTCACACATTTTTCATGTTTAACTTAAAAAACATATTTAAGTCCTGTTTTTTAAACTGCTTTGAGCCTGGATCAAGAGAGAAAAGCAGGATTGTTGTTACTACTACAACTACCCAGAAAAGTTTCTTTCCTGGACTATACTAGCAGGAGCTGTGGTCCTCCAAAGTAACTTTTCATGCAGTGATGATGGTACTGATGGCTAGAAGTCACTACTAGACAGTACAACTATCATCTTTCAACCAGTGATATTTAAGATAACTCTTAAAGGACAGCAGAGCAGAACTGGGAGTCCTTCTCCCTCTTTATGTCCAACCTTTATTTTGAACACCTCTCCTTAAAGCAGGAGCTTTAAGTTCTTCATTTTATCAGTTGCTAGCAACAAGAAGACTCCATCCCAGTCCTCATCTACTGCATGGCCATACATTCCATTAGAGTAGATTTAAAAAAACAAAACAAACTTGTATGTCAGCTATAGCTTTCACATCCTTGAGGTAAATAATTCTAACACCTGCAGACAGTCCCACGTTGAGTTCTCTTTGTGTAGAGGAAAAAGGGGTATAAACAAATAAACAAACAAATAATATATGCATCCTGTATTTATTCCTGTTCTGTAGGACTTGCTTCTGCGCAAATATGCACAGGTTGCTACTGGAAAAAAATGAGTTTAACAGGAAGACACTGGTGATTATATGTTTTTAATTTTTTGTATGGATTTTTATAATGTTGTGCTAAATGTTTATTAATTGTATTTTATGACTGTTGTCGCATCAAATTGCTGCCAATTTGTAAGCCGCCTTGGGTTACCTTCAGGCTGAGAAAGGTGGAATAGAAATACAGTAAATAATAAATAAATAGTCCAAAAAAGGAATAGAAAAATATTACAAAGGGAGACATGACTCTTGGGAACAGTTATATCGTGTATTTGGCCTTCAGAGTAAAGCCTAATTATACAAGCATTGCAACACCCATGTTTTGGATTTTAAAAATTATTCTATCTTTGCATGTCATTAAAATGTCAAGCATCAGCTGATTTTGATCTTATTTAAATTTGGTTAGGAATTTGTTAAGAAAAGCATCTTCAGTCACTTCCACTCAATATCAATGAGACTTGATACATAAGAAGTGTTTTCAGGGCATAATTATCAGGATAAATTATTGGTTGTCACCCAAAAAGCAACATTTTTTCAAGGGGTTTTGATGATTTCAGTTTAGCCAAAGGCAATGAATGAGTTAACTGCCCCAGCTCTGGTTACTGGAGTGATGAAATGGGTAAATATGTATTCCATTCATCAGTTAGTACTGCCTGACCTTGGGTCTATGACAGAGGAGAGGCGTGTCTTCCCATTCTGTACTTCTTGAACAAAGGCAAGCAAAGGAGGGTGACTCAGGATTTCGCCTAGATGTAATGGCACATTTTCTGAATGATTCAACATTTACACTCAAGAATCAGGAAGAGAACCTATTACGTGTTTCCAACCGAGTTAAACTATTTTATAAAGTGTCTGCAGATATTTTTTATGACCTTCTGTGTGAGGTTTTTAATAGTATTGACGCTTTCATTATAGATCTTTTTAGTACATCTGATTAAAATGGAAAATCAAAGCATATGTGATGAAACAATGACAATCAAAGGAAGTTTCGTATGTAATGTTACGGAAGAGTCTTTTTTTTTTTTTAACAGCTTCCAACAGGACTTACTGGCCACTTAAATACAATGGGCACAAATAAGCTGTCTAGCTCCCCCTGCTTTCAGACATTCCATAACAATGTATTAAAGCCTATGTATTCAGCTAAGCCTGCAATACTTTCAAAGGCTAAAAAAGTACCTATGGTTCTCCATGGATTGCTTTTTTTAAAACAAGCAATTCAAACCAGTTCTTGACATTACTTGGTTTCTAAATGTTTGGTGATGGGAGGAACTTTACTGAAATTCACACGGTTTATTTCCATGTGAGCAGAATGGGATAAAATTCTACCAGAGCTGTGAAAGTGTGCTGGAAAGGTAATTAGCCACAATGTTTACATGCCAACTTACACTTGAGCATAATCTTTTTGTAATTGATTTTGGGTCATCTGAGGATTTAGCACCAATGTCTGCAAATATTGTTCGTATCAATTGTAACATTTTATAATCAATTGGAGACTAAGGGCCCTTCCAGACAGGCCCTATATCCCAGGATCTGATCCCAGTTTTTCTGCTTTTAACTGGATTATCTGAGTCCGCACTGCAAGACAATCTGGGATAAAACAGAAAACCTGAAGACCCTGGGATTTAGGGTCTGTCTGGAAGGGCCCTAAGGCCCCTTCCACACAGCTGTATAAAATCCATATTGAACTGGATTATATGGCAGTGTGGACTCGGAAAATCCAGTTCAAAGCAAATATGGTGGATCATCTGCCTTGATATTCTGGGTTATAGTCTTCTGCTTAATCCAAAAGATAGATATGAACAATGCTGGGATCTCACAACCTGAGGATGCTTGCCATAGATGCAGGTGAAACATCAGGAGAGAATGCTTCTAGAACATGGCCATATAGCTTGAAAAGCTTCCAACAACCCAATGCTAGGATCTATAGCACAAGGTTTTAGTTTTTCTCAGAAGTAAGATCTACTGGATTTGTTAAATCTTATTTTCAAGTCAATGGAATTAGGGTTGCTGTTTAATAATAATATCCTATACTTTGTTTAGCCATTAGGTTGATTGGCTTCACTGATGCTAATTAGCTGGCAATATCTATAGAATGTAGCTTTCATCCCACGGGTCATAACCTTTTGGTTAAGCCATTAAGTAATTGGGTGCACTTATTTCACTAAGAGTGCAATTTTCAGTATTAAGTCTACTGCAAACCCAAACACCCTTGCTCATGAATACTTCTCACTTTGAATGATCACATACCATTTCTAAAACTGAACTGTTTGTAACATTGAAGCAAACACAACACAATCACAGATCATTTCCTGTCATTGTTTCTTGAGTAACATTTAAAATATTGGAATTTCCCATTGGACTGTGAATATCTAGATATTTGTGCATAGTATTTCTTATTTTTCATCCAACAGTAAGGCAACATCCAAGATTTTTGTGTTCCAGACCAAACTGTGTTTGGATTGAATCCCTTTTACATAAATGTAGGTCAGCCACTTGCCATCAACCTTGTTTAGGATTCATATGAGGGTGTGCTATTTCTAACTTGAAATTCCTGCAAAGCTCCAACGTAGACTGTGAAAGGATCTGTCCTCAGTGACTCTTACATCAATGGAACACTGTGCCTGTTCTTCGTAGTCGTAAGGTGAGAAGGCTTTGGCCAGAATACAGAGAAAATTTCCCAGGGTCTTGTTGCCTTAGACAATCATTGGGACAACCACTGCAAATAACCTTTTCCTAAATTCAATTTGGTCAGGTATGCTGCTTGAGTCTCTTACACAAGGATATCACTAATTTCCAGAGCGTTCCCTTTTATATTTCTTTGTGTCTGGAACTCTTGATGGGCAGCATATTGTAACCATAGACATGACACAAAATTACTTCACTCTAAGGTTACACTTTTTCTGTTCTTCCCTTAATGTTTCTTTTATAACAGAAGGAGGATGTTGGAATAAAAAAAATCCCAGTTGATTTGGCTGGTGTGTACACCTCAGTAGCTGCAGTATTCATTTAAATTTAAAAGGTATTAAAAAAGAGTTCACTCACAGAACATGTTTAAAGCTCCTAATTTCACTTTATTTAATGCAAAAGATAAAAAATAATAGGTAAAAATAGTAATGTGTTAGTTTAGCAACTATAAACAGTGAAAGCATAGTGCAGGTGATAGTTCAACAAAAGCAAATTGAAAGTATAATGAAGGTGAGATTTCAACCATCACACTCCATTAAAACAATGTTTGTTGTTTTGCTTTATTGCTATACAAATTATCACCATTAAAAACTTCAAAAAAGTAAAGTTGCAAAGCCCGACTTCACTGAAATGAAGTTCACCTTACGTGCAGTGGAGTCAAAAGTTTGCATTTTTATCAGAGATTAATGGTAGTACTGTTGCAGCTAAAGCACTTAAAAGTCTTTGTAGTCAAGGAAACATATGGTAAATATATAGTGATCTATTGAGGTGATGTCATAAACTTATCAAGAAATATGGAGGGAGGGGGGTTATACTAAGCCCAATAGAAATGGAAAGAAATGGGAAGACTGTGTCCTAGTTTGTGACATTTCTGCATTGTGGGTGCATAATTTGTGTTAGAACCAGTAGGTAACCTTCACAGGGATTTGTTGACCAGATATAGAGCTTTGAATATGTTCCAGCTGTCATCACATGATATGACAAGGCCTAACCTTTCCCACTACTTAAGCTACGTTAAAGAACATACAGTGGTATTACTGGGCTACAATATATGAAGACACTTATTTTAGGATATAAGTGTAAATAAAAGGGTTTTTGTTGGAGATCTAGATCAAATGCCTCTCAATACTTTGGCATGCCCAAATAGCATTAGCAGGGAAGAATTTATTATCATTCCACCTCATTATAAGCTCAAGTCTGAACTGCATGCCAAGACACCAAACCAACTTTCCAAGAATTTTTTTAAAAGCAAGGATATTGTTTTACCTAGAATGCAAATTCTCCATACAAATTGGTATAATACATGAGGTATTATGTCAAAGAGATTCTTAAGAACTTATTATCATCTATCAATTCAAATCCAATTTTAATAAAGTGCCTAATACATATTTCCACAGACTATAGTGGTTCCAAAGAATCCTTTACAGTTGTATATATGTGCGTTTTTTCCTCTTTCAAACTGTCTAAACATGTGTTTACATAAGACACCAGTCTGTACTATATGTATTTCTATCATTTTAAAGAGTACTGAATTGTTTTATCATGCAAATCTTGTTATTTAATATTACACTGACCTGTAATATGGAACACAATGCTAGTGGGTGTACTCATTAAAACACTCCAAAAAATAAAAAATAAAAAATTACTGTGCATGTGCAGTTTGGATTTTCAAATGTTATGACCATTTTCAAAGATCTACCAAAATCTATTCTGCATTAAAGAGCAGTCTGAACATTAACACTTAAGAACAGTCTGACCCAACAGCATCAGTTAAAACTCAGTTGAACATTCTCTCAACATCAAAAATGTATAGTGTTTTGCCACAGAAACGGGGACCATAAAACCATCGTTCTGAGAATTACTTATGACCATATGAACATTCAACACAACGGGTTGCACACAGCAGTGTTGCTAACACAACTGTAAACATCACAGAAGCACTACAGCAAGGTTTGGCTATTTCTAGTAACTGATGATTTATTGATTAAAAACGTGTGCTTTCTGATGCAAAACAAACAAAAGCAGAGTGATCAAAACAGTATTTTTACAAAAGAATTTGTGAACGTAACAAAAAAAAAGGCAAGGCATGCCTACATGAAACTGAAGTTAACGTAAATCCCAGGTTGCTCATTTAAATATGAACAGAGTCGTTTCCTGTTCAACACATGCATTACGAAATTTCAGGCAGAAATTTCCATTAATCTCTCTGCTGCCAAGACATAGGCAAAACATGGAAAACCTGCACATCACCACACTGTTTCCTGCCACTACCTGGGAACGTGATGTCAGAAGCAGGAACAGTATCAACAGTACGATGCTTTAAGTGAGAAATAAAATCAATTCACCTGCATTGTATTAAACGTTTGGGCTTTTTAATAATAATAATAAAGCAAACTACGCCAAACCTTTCCACATGTTTACGACAGGAATGACCATGCTGAATGGGCTGAAAAGGCATGGGTCTGTGAAAAAGTATAGTTACTCTGTCTGCATCAATGCACTGTTAGACAAAAATTAGAACTTATCACAAAAATCCTGCAAAAGCATCACATAATGGGAGAAATAATGCAGTTTTGCAACCTTACAAACAACCACATGAACTATGATCAACTCTTGTCTTTAAGGGAGGGAAACTAACCTCCCAATCCCTAACATAATTGTGCCTCATTTAGCATAATACTCTGAAAGCAACTTCCTTTTCCAATCTGCCTCCTCAGATGCAAAGCATTTTCGCAGCGACGAGGAAACTATGTTTCCAAGTGAAATCCTTTGTATTTTCTGACTTGTCTTTGGAATGAACCAGGGAGATGTTCCATGTTGTCTCTAAAACCTGTTAAGACTCCAACACAAATGAGTATGAGCAAAAAAATAAGGGGCCACAGACAGTAAGGCGAGCTTTACAATGTCAGAAGATGTATTTGGCATCTTTAAAAAAAAGAAAGTAAGTAAGGGGGAAACCAAGTGCATACAATTACAGCTAAAAGCATTTCTGATTCGTCAAGTGCTCTCTAAAAAAAGCAGCGCCAAGTCACAGCCTACACTGAACAGTAACTGTCACCAAGGAAGCACAACAAATAACTGCTATAACCAAAACAAAAGTTGCCGTAAGTAAGTACATACCTTTTTGTCTTCAAAAAATATATAGAAACACAATGTATTAAAAAAAAGAAATCAAAATTATACAGCCATGTTTTTATGAAGTCTACATTTCCCTTGTCTTGGAGATATATATATATATAATATATATATATATAGGTATTTATAGGTATTTATAGATATTTATACAATTTGAGCAGTTTCAGGTTAAAGGTGATGTCGCAGTGAGAAACTGGGAAAGTCAGGAGTCCCTCTCTTTTTTCACCTTCACGTCTCCTGCGAGGATGGTGGCGATCTCGCCCTGCATGAAGGCCCAGGGGACATTGGAGCCCACCAAGGGACACTTCTCCCCACTGGGGCAATACACCTCCCCATTGGCGCCTTGCTGCTTGATGCTCTGTCTGGAGCAAGGGAAGCAAAACTTGTGGGAGGGGACGGAGGGGCACTGCACAAAGTGGGTGTCTTCCAGGCGCTCGTGACACAGAGTGCAACACAGGGGGATGCTCGCGGCCAGAGAGGAGTCTGGGAGGCTGGCCGGGTGCACGGGCTCCATCCCGCCGGCATTCCCCCCTTGGTTGGGCACCTCCCTGGGCAGCCGCCTTTGGTTCATGGGGGACGGGGAGGGCGGGCTGCTGCTATTCCTTCTGGTGGTGGAGTGCACCTGGTTGGCATCTTTGGAAGCGTGGTTGCCTCCGGCATTGTCCGCAACCAAAATTAGCGCAGCCATCGGGGACTGGCCGTTCTGGACCGCCTCGGGCGGCGTGGTCCGGTTGGAATGTGGCGAGGCGGTGGGCGGCGGCGGGGACATGAAGGAGGGGGCCCCCATCGGGATCTTCATCCCTTCTGAGGAGGTCGGGAGCCATGACTGTGCCTCTCCGTTGATTTTAGGAGGCCCAGCTTCCCCTTCCGGCTCTGGGGAAGGCTTTCTTTTCCTGGCAGCCCGTGCTCCTGTACAGACAGGGGGAAAAAATAAGGAGAGATGATTTTTTTTCATGCCAGGAGCAATTTGAGAAACTGAAAATCACTTCTGGTGTGAGATAATTGGCTGTCTGCAAGGACATTGCACAGGAGACGCCCGGATGTTTTACCATCCTGTAGGAGGTTTCTCTCATGTCCCCGAATGAGAAGCTGGAGCTGACAGACAGGAGCTCACCCCACTTCTCAGATTCAAACTGCCAACCTTTCAGTCAGAAGTCCTGCCGGCACAAGGGTTTAACCCATTGCGCCACTGGGGGCTCCTAGGAGAGGTGATAAGGTTGCAGAAAGACAGGCGTGAAAACCGGTTCGCGATGGGTAGCTCAGCCCCAGTAAGTGGCTGGACGCAGGCCATGTTGCTCACCAACGCAAGCAGATGAAACCAGCTTAAAAAAAAAAACCCAACCCAACAACCTGAGTGACTTCAGCTTATCTGGGGCTGTGGATCAGCAGCTGCAAGGCAAGCGAACATGCCGTGCCGCCAGTGCTTACGCTACAGTACGGGATGCATCCAAAGGCACCCACACTGTACTCCCCCCTCCCACGCGGGCCCTCGGCCAAATGGCCGCTCGCTCGCTCGCTCTCTGCCTTGTAATCTTCCACTCCCTGGAAACGCATCCAGGCTCAAAGGCAGGGCAGGGCACCACATCCAATACGTGTGACCCACTTGAGAGAAGGCAGCAACGGGCAGGGAATGCCTGGCTAAGTCCAGAGAGAAAAGCCTGGCAACCTGTGAGGGGCAACTCCAGAGATGGCACCCTGCTTCCCCACCTTCTGCAAAACACCTCTGGGAGCCTCAATGGGGCCCTTTCCCCAAGAAGGAGGCTGGGGCCTTGGGGGGGGGGGAAGCCTCCCTCGGCTCCTGAGTCATCATCCATGTTATGTTTCCAGCCTTTGAAGTACAAACCACACTCCAGCACCAGGAAGTGGTGCTGAAATGGCGACCCCGGCTCCCTTTCCTGCACTGAGAGAGGGAGGGGCCCACTTCTTTCCATTCAAACATTACTTTGGACCCATATATTTTATGTGTATGGCCTAGCACAGGCATGGGCCAACGTGGGCCCTCCCTCCAAGTGTTTTGGACTGCAACTCCCCCCATTCCTAACAGCCTCAGGTCCTTTCCTTTCCCCTCTCAGCCACTTAAGGGGGGGGGGGAAGGGGCTGAGGCTGTTAGGAATGGGGGGAGTTGCAGTCCAAAACACTTGGAGGGAGGGCCCAAGTTGCCTGCCCTAGCATGTGCTTTGAAGAAATGCAATGTGTTCAATATGTAATGGTGCATTTCAACGTCCTTGTGCCATAAGGAGAAGCAGATAATACTATGAAGAAAATGGCTGGGAAGGAAAAGGAGGGGAGCAGTTGGCAGAAAGAAAGGGAGACCCCTCCCCTCCTCCTCGTTCTCTCTTGAGCAGAAAATGCAGAACCAGGGTGGCCATTTCAGCACTACTTCCTGGTGCCTGCTGGAAACATAACATGGATGACTCAGGGAGGAAGGAAACAAGAAAGGAAGGAGAGGGAGGGAGGGAGGGAGGGAGGGAGGGAGGGAGGGAAGGAAGGAAGGAAGGAAGGAAGGAAGGAAGGAGGAAGGAAGGAAGGAAAGGGGAAAGAAAAAAGAGGAAGGGGAGGAGAAAGGGAGGGAAGGCAGGCAGGAAGGAGGAGGAGGGAAGGAGAGGGAGGGAAGGAAGAAAGAAGGGAAGGGAGAGAGAGGGAAAGGAGGAAAAGAAGGAAAGAAAAGGGAAGGAAGGACGAGGAGGGAGGGAAGGAAGAAAAGGGAAGGGAGAGAGAAAGAGGGAAAGGAGAAAAAGAAGGAAGGAAGGGGAGAGAGGGAAGGAGTGGAAAAAAGAAGGAAAGAAGGAGGAAAGGAAAAAGAAGGGAAGAAAGAGGAAAAAAAAGGGAGAGAAAGGAAAGGAGGGAGAGAGGAAGGAAGGAAGAAGGAAAGGAAAGAGGGAGAGAAGGAAGGGGAGAGGGGAAGGAAGAAAGGAGGAAGGGGGAGAGAGAGGAAGGAAAGGAGGAAAAGAAGGAAGGGAGGGAGGAGAGGGGGAGGAAAGGAGGAAAAGGAGAAAGAAGAAGGAAAGAGAAGAAGGGAAAGAAGAAAGAGAGGAAGAAGGAAGGGAGATGGAAAGGGAAGGAAAGGAAGGAAGAACGTGAGGGAGGGGGGTGGGAAGAAAGGGAGGGGAGGGAGGGGGAGGAGAGGGGGTGCCGAGACCGCTTGGGCCACCTCAGCACCCCTTCCTTCCTCTTGGCCCGTCTTCCTGGCCACTCACCGGAGGCCTTGGCGCCGTTGCCCTCGTAGCCCAGCAGCCGCCCTCCTGCTCCTCCTCCTGCTGCTGCTCCTGCTGGCGCTGCTCCGGCGGCGGCGGCGAGGCCGGGCTCCTTCTTGAACTTGCCCTCGTAGGGGACGGCGTGTCCGCCGTGCTGCAGGGCCAGGAGCGTGTCCCGCACGGTCTTGGGCTTCCCCAGCCACTCCTGCTCGGAGCCCCCGCCGCGGCCTTTGCCCTCCAGCGCCTCCAGGCCCTCGACGGAGCCCCGCTGCGAGGCAGGGCCCTTGTCCTTGTCGGCGTCGCCTCCCGAGGAAGACGAGGAGGAGGAGGAAGAGGAAGAGACGGAGCCGGGCCTCTTGTGCGGAGGCGCGCCTTCTCCCGCCGCCACGGAGACCTGCAGCGGCGCCCCGGTGATGGCGGCCAAGGAGGCGGCGGCGCGGCTGCTGAGCCCGGCGCCGTTCATGAGCGGCACCAGGGTGGGCGCCACGGCGTGCGTGGTCCTCCGCGGGTTGGGGCTTTGGCGGTTCAGTTCGGGCGGCTCCTCGGGCTTGGGGAAGCCGTTGGGCACCAGGATGCCGTTGACTTGCCGCCCGCCGTACTCGGGGCCCAGGCGCGGTGGGGCCCGCTCTGAGGCGGCGGCGGCGGCCAGGGCGTAGCGCTCGTGCGGCGGAGGCCCCCCGCGGGAGGCGGCCTCAGCGGCGGCGGCAGCGGCGGCAGCCACGGCGGCGGAGTGCATCTCCTTGGCGCTGAGCGGGGGCGGGGGCGGAGGAGGCGGCGGGGCCTTGGCGTGGGGGCCTTGCTGGGGGCCCGCTCCCCCGCCGCCGCCCCCTCCCCCGCGCGCCTCCTGGAAGCTGTGGGCTCGCTTGAGCTGCCGCGCCGTGTCGATGACGAACTCCACCCGGTCGGCGCCCTCGTAGTTGACGCAGCCGCGGCAGACGGGCTCCGTGAAGTCCCAGATCATGGCCCAGGGCATGCGGGGAAGGTCGCAGAGGTAGCACGACTGGCGGCGGGAGGCGGCCGAGACCGCCACAGCCGCGGAAGACATGGCCGCGGGACCCGGGGGCGGCAGCAGCAGCAGCACAGCCAGCGGCAGCGAGCACGGGCCTCGCCTTCCTTCTCCTCCTCCTCCTCTCCCTGCAACAGCAGCCTCCTCTGCTCCCGCCGGAAACGCAGCCGCGCCGTCGCTCCTTGGCAAAAACGCCTTTCCTCCGCTACCGCATCGCCCGGGCCTCGCGCTCTCCCTTCGCGGCTCGCGCTCTCGCTCGTGCTATCCCTTCGTGGCTCGCGCTTGCTCGCTCACTCTCTCTCTCTCTCTCTCTACTACCACCGCGCTGCCCAGACGCTCCTTCTCTCTCTCTCTCTCTCTTTCTCGCGCTGCTGGGGCGGGGACTCCACGAGCCGCCGCCGCTGAGTGCGCTCTCGCTGCTCCAGTGACTCGATTCTTCGACAGTGCCCAGGAGCGCATGCGTACTAGGCTCTCCCCCTCGCCGTTTCCCTCCCTCCTCCTTCCCTCCCTCTCTTCCTCCTCCTGCTGCTCATTGAACTTCTGCCAAGACAACAAGGGCTGCGAGAATAACCAGCTCTCTCTCCGAGTCAGCACCGGGGAAAGGGAGGGAGGGAAGGAGGAAAGGGAGGGAGGGACGGGAAAGGGCTCTCGCGTGTGAATGGAGGCCAAGGTGGGGGGAAAATTTCCTCGCCCTCAACGCGGATGCCAGGATTGGGGAGATTCCTTTTTGCATGTCCCTCTTTTTGCCATTTTGTATGTATCTGTATTTATTTTCGGGCGATTCCTTGGGAGGGGAAAGGGCTCTCGCGTGTGAATGGAGGCCAAGGTGTGTGTGTGTGGGGGGGGGGGGGGAGGTTTCCTCGCCCTCAATGCGAGTGCCATGGATGGGGAAATTCCTTTTTGCATGTCTTTTTTTTGCCATTTTGCATGTATCTGTGTGGTCTGGTTGCCCCTGACAAGATAAATAAATGTATCTGTGTGGTATTGGGATACTTCAATTGCATGTGTGTGTATGTGGCTTCACATCAGGTTTTGGGATTCTTCAATGGCCGCTCTTTGAAAAAAAACAACAGCAATCTAGGTGACCATTCGACTTCCTGATTTTAATTCAGATTTCAGCATGCATTTTCCACGTTCGCACCTTCAGAAACAGTGGTTTGACGGCTTCTCCATTGATAATACAAAGGCATGGAATATATATACAAGGAATAGAAATACTGTACTACAAGGATTATAAATATTGTAAATGGAATATAACACAAGGAATATAAATACTGTAAATGAATAAATAAAGGCATGGAATATAATACAAGGCAAAAAAATACAAGGGATATAAATACGGTAATACAAGGAATATCAATACTGTAAATAAATAAAGGCATGGAATATAATACAAGGAACATAAATACAAGGAATATCAATACTGAAAATAATGAATAAATAAAGGCATAGAATATAATAAGGAATATAAATACAAGAAATATAAATACAATAAATAAATAAATAAATAAAGGCATGGGATACAAGGAATATCAATGCAAGGAATATAAATACTGTAATACAAGGAATTACAAAAGGAAGAGAAATGCTTTTGAACTGTGGTGCTGAAGGAAAGTTCTGAGAGTGCCTTGGACTGCGAGAAGATCCAACCAGTCCATACTTCAGGAAATAAAGCCCGACTGCTCATTGGAGAGAAGGATAGTAGAGGCCAAGATGAAGTATTTTGGCCACATCATGAGAAGACAGGAAAGCTTAGAGAGGGCTGATGTGGGGAAAATGGAAGGAAAAAGGAAGAGGGCCGACCAAGGGCAAGATGGGTGGATGCTATCCTTGAAGTGACTGACTTAACCTTGAAGGAGCTGGGGGTGGTGACGGCCGACAGGGAGCTCTGGCATGGGCTGGTCCATGAGGTCACGAAGAGTTGGAAATGACTGTACGAATGAACAACAATGCAAGGAATATCAATACTGTAAATAAATGAATCAATAAAGGTATGGAATATAATACAAGGAATATCAATAGCGTAATACAAGGAATATCAATACTGTAATTAAATAAAGACATAGAATGTAATACAAGGGATATCAATACTGTAAATAAATAAATAAAGGCATGGGATATAATATAGAAATAGTATACAGAAATATAATAGAAATACTGTAATACAAAAAATAGAAATACTGTAAATGAATAGGCAAACGTACGCCCTCCCACCAGGCTTTTTGGACTACAAATCCCACCATTCCTAACAGCCTCAGGCCCTTTCCATTTTCCCTTCAGAGGCTTAAGCCTGAGGCTGTTGGGAATGGTGGGAGTTGCAGTCCAAAACACCTCGTGGGAGGGCCCAGGATTGCCCATGCCTACTCTAGAGAAACCCCATTAAAAGTAAGTGCAACTCATAAACATGGTGTTTCTGGTGCAGAGCCCAACCCCAGGCGGCCCTTTCCCCCTCTAAACCAGACATGGCCAAACTTCAGCCCTCCAAGCAGGTCCGTAGCCAGGATTTTGTTTCGGGGGGGGGGGCTGAGTTTCGGGGGGGGGCTGAGTCTGAGTGAAAGAGGGTCTAGCCTAGCACACCTTTTGTATCATTACCCCAATACCCCCATGCATATGGGATATATTGAGTATGGTGATCAGATCATGATATGAATAAACATAACAGTTTAAATAATGCACCAGTAAGGCTTTTTCGCGAACCACCATGAGAATTTCGGGGGGGGGGGGCTGAAGCCCCCCGCTACATGCCTGCTCCCCACGCTTTCGCCCCCTTTCCCGTTCACACGAGACGCGTGAACCAGCGGCGATCCCGCTTCACTGCCTGCGTGCGCCCTGGGGATTGTGCTGCGTAAACACAAGAGCCAGCCGCTCCCCGAAAACTGCCGCCTAGGTCACCATTCCCACAGTACTACTATTATTATTATTATTGCGGCGGCGGCGGCTGCTGAGTTATGTAGGTTACAAAGGGAGGGAGGGAAAAAAGGAGGCGAGTTTCTGACGTTTGCATTTTGGTCCAAGGGCTCCTCCGGCCTGCGCATGCGCAGTCGGGGACGTGACTCTATGCCATTGGCACTCGAAGCCTTGTTAAGCGAAATGCACATTCCAGGGACGAGAGAGAGAGACGGGGGGGGGGGGAGAGAGAGCGAGCTGCGGCCAGCGCCGTCACAGCCTTCAAGCCCCGCCCCTTTGCTGCTATTTCTGGGCGCGCGGCGCTCCCTCCCTCCCTCCCTCGCAGGCTTAACTTTTACTTAAGATAGCATGGGCAGTTTTTGCAGGCTACGGCGGCCGAGGCGGGTCAAACAACTGCAACAAACAAACAAAGCGCTTTAGCGTGTCCTCCCGCGTGCTTGGCGTTGGCAATGAATCCGCGCCGCGCCTTCTTTGCAACCAGGCCTCAGGAAAGACGGTTTTGGCATGTTGCGGATTTACCTTTCCCAATTTTTTAAAAACAATACAAAACACTGTGTTGGCAGAGGCAGCCGCCCAGAAACCGATTTGCCTCTGCTGCAACTCCTTTGCAGTCCTGACTTGATTAGCATTGGGTTGTTGTGTGTGTTTCCGGGCTGTATGGCCATGCTCCAGCAGCATTCTCTCCTGACGTTTCGCCTGCATCTATGGCAGGCAACCTCAGAGGTTGTGAGGTCTCGCAACCGCTCAGCATGCCTACCATAGATGCAAGCGAAACTTCAGGAGAGAATGCTTCTTGAGCATGGCCATACAGCCTGGAAAACACACAAAACAACCCCTCACAACCTCTGAAGATGCCTGCCCTAGATGCAGATGAAACGTCAGGAAAGAATGCTTCTGGAACACAGAAAGCACACAACAACCTACCACAACCTCAGAGGATGCCTGCCGTAGATGCAGGTGAAATGTCAGGAGAGAATGCTTCTGCAACATGGGCATGCAGCCCACAAAACACACAACAACTCCTCAACCTCTGAGGATGCAAGCGAAACGTCAGGAGAGAATGCTTCTTGAACATGGCCATACAGCCCGGAAAACACACAAAACAATCTATTACCTCTGAGGATGCCTGTCGCAGATGCATGCAAAATGTCAGGAGAGAATGCTTCTGGAACATGGGCATACAGCCCAGAAAACACACAACAAGCCCTCACAACCTCTCAGGATGCCTGCCATAGATGCAGGTGAAACGTCAGGAGAGAATGCTTCTTGTACATGGCCATACAGCCCGGAAAAACACAAAACAATCTATCACAACCTCTGAGGATGCCTGTCATAGGTGCATGCAAAATGTCAGGAGAGAATGCTTCTGTAACATGGGCATTCAGCCCAGAAAACACACAACAAGCCCTCATAACCTCTCAGGATGCCTGCCATAGATGCAGGTGAAACGTTAGGAGAGAATGCTTCTGGAACATGGCCCTACAGCCCAGAAAACACTCAACAACCTCTCAGGATGCCTACCATAGATGCAGGCGAAATGTCAGGAGAGAATGCTCCTGGGACATGGCCATACAGCCTGGAAAACACACAACAATACATCTCTTTAAAGTAGCCTTTGTAGTCCTGGCTTGATTAGCATTTCCAAAAGCAAAAGCACAGGTTAGGGTTGGCTGTGGACTCATTGCACGGGAGCCTGAACGACACGCTTTACATTCTCAAGTTCCTAAGCAACGGTTGATGGTTTTAAAGAGCCATCTTAACACTGTAGAATAAATACAACTTGACACCCACTTATTTCATCCTGGGGAAAAGAAATTAATAAAAGGTAAAGGGTGAGAAAAATGTACTGAATGTGTGTGTATGTAAAGCACTCCCCCTTTGAACTGGATGGAACAGGTTGTGAGCTGGAAGAGCAGAGTGCAGATGCTTATCTTTGCCTCTGGATGGGCAAAGAGGGAGGGAAAGAGAGAAAGGAATCTTGCTGACGTTTCTGCCTCGTTGCTATTCCAAACGCAGTCATTGTTGTTTGAACAGCCTTTCCTAATGAAGCGGAAAGGAAAGAGGGAGGGAGAAAGGCAAGAGAGAGAAAGAGAGAACACCGCCCTAGATTTTCATGATCTCACTAGACATCACATGAACAAACCTGTTCCTAAAAAATAATCATAATATCACAGCCCCTGGTTAACACCTTCTGTGTTTTTTCCTCCTCTCAGACCTGCTTACATGACACAGCTGCTCCCAAAGGGGATTTCCAGAATCAGAGCTGTCCTTACTGTAAAATTGATCTAGTTCAGGCCTGGGAAAACTTGGACCCTGCAGGTGTTTTGGACTGCAACTCCCACCATTCCTAACAGCCTCAGGGCCTTTCCTTTACCCCCCTCAGGCGCTTAAGTGGCTGAGGGGGGAAAGGAAGGAGCCTGAGGCTGTTAGGAATGGTGGGAGTTGAAGTCCAAAAGGCTTCATTGGCTGAAGGGGAAAAAGAAGGAGGCCTGAGGCTGTTAGGAATGGTGGGAGTTGAAATCCAAAAGGCTTAAGCGGCTGAGGGGGAAAAGGAAGGGGCCTGAGGCTGTTAGGAATGGTGGGAGTTGAAGTTCAAAAGGCTTAAGCGGCTGAGGGGGAAAGGAAGAGGCCTGAGGCTGTTAGGAATGGGGGGAGTTGAAGTCCAAAACGCTGAGGGGGAAAAAGAAGGAGGCCTGAGGCTGT